CGGGGGGGGGCGATGGGCGAGCAGCCTGGTGCCAGGAAAGGGCAAAAGGGGGCAGCTGGGGTAAGCGACGGCCGGCCAGCCAGCCAGCCAGCCAGCCAGCCAGCCGGCAGCCGCCGCACCCTCCCCTCCAGCCCGCGCCGCAGTCGTGGCACGCACTGGGCGCACGCACACACACCTGCACCATGCCCCTCGCTGAACACACACACACACACACACACACATCCCACTGCGCCCATTCCCCGCTTGCCCACACGCTCCCCCAGCGCAGCCTGCAGCCCCCGCCGCCACGCACCGCCCCTACATCCCCCGGTGTGCGGCCCAGGCTGGGCAGCACCATGGCGAGCCGGAGCCGAGCCGGAGGCCCCCTCAGCACATGCCCCCTCCCTCTCAAGACAACACATGCCCACCACACCAAACACCTGCAGCACCACCGAAGCACCCTGCAGCATGTCCCTCTCTCAGCACACACCTCCACACGCCCCCACCCCATCGCACAACCGCCGCAGCACCCACCACCGGCACCTGCACCATCACCACCACACACCGCAGCACCACCACCGCAGCACCCACCACACACTGCAGCACCCACCTGCAGCGAGTCCCCCGGTATGCGGTCCAGGCTGAGCTGCTTGATGGCCACGTGCTGCCCGGTACGGGTATCCAGGCCCAGGTAGACCTGCGGGAGGGAGGAAAGGGGAGGACGGCGGGGAAGAAAGGCAGCGAGGCGGGGAGACGGGGCGTGAGCAAGCAAGCCAGCCAGCGAGCAAAGCAAGCAGGCAAGTGGGCAACGCAGGGAGGGAGCGGGAGGGCAGGAGTGTGGACTGGCGTGGCCCCAGGCAGATCCGCGGGGAGGGAGGAAAGGAAAGGAGTCGGGCAGGGAGCGGGTGCACGCACAGCGACCAGCAGCGTGAGCCTGAGCAGGCACCGCCATGCGTGACGAGCATCGCGGCGACCCACAGCTCCCGCAGCAACAAAGCAGCAGCAGCAGCAGCAGTCATTCGGCAGCGGAGTAGTGTGCTGGTTTTGGGTGCGGCGCCGGCCGGGCGCAGCTCCCAGGCGGCCGCACCTGGCCAAAGGCGCCACGCCCCAGCTCCTCGCCCAGCCTGCAGGCAGGGAGCGAGGCGAGGCGGCGGCACATGGCGGCTGCGGTTTGTTGGAGGGAAGCGGCGGCGCGGCACGCGCCGCACACCGGCAGCAAAGTGTGGCTGCAGCATTGCTGCGGGCAGGTGTGCCGCCCGTGGCAGCACCATCAGGTGGGGCTGCTTGCAGGCGCGGCCGCCTTGCCGCCAGGCCGCTGCGGCTGCGCCAACCTGCCGCTGGGTGCCATGAGAGTGGCGGCGGCGGCGGCAGCGACGGCACACGCTCCAAAACCTCAGGCAGCTGCCGACCGGCCGGCCTGCGCCCACCTGTACTTGTCGCTGAGGCTCTTGGGGAAGCTGTGGCGCGCGGAGGGGGATGGGAGGGGCAGGGGCAGGCGAGGTGGGGGCCCGCTGCCGCCCCCGCGCTGCCCGTCGGGCGGGTACATGGCTGCCGATCGCGGCTAAAGGGTGCCCTGGCCCGCCGCCAGCAGCCGCTGCCGACTCGCGGAAAGTTAGTTCCGCTCCATGACGCTGCACCGTCAGCTACGGTGGGCCGAGGTTGCTGCCGTGCTGCAAAGAATGCGATCGCGGCTGCGCTGGCAACTGCGGGCGGGGCAGTTGACCTGGCGGCGGCGGCGGGAGGAAAGCCAGGGGCCGCCGCTGGTGCCCCTGGGGTGTGCGCTGGCATGTATTACAACAATGCGGAAGGCACATTTACAGCGCTTGGGCAGTGTGACTGGCATGCTGGAAGGGGTCGACCCTGGGCCAGGACGGGACGCAGGGGTGCATGCCCATGCGACGCAGAAGGTGCTGAGGCGCTGCCCTGCCGTCTGCTTTTCCGTGCTGTCTGCTAGCCCCCCACATCACAGGGATGCACAAACCTTGAAACAGAATGAAGCGGCACGGCCTCAGAACGGCAAGGAGTCACCCTGGCTGAGGCTCAATCAAGGGGCCCAACCGGCTTGCCACACAGCAGGCTCGGCCGTAGGTTGCGGCTGGCGCCTCAAATACGGCCGGCCGGGCAACCCGGCGGGTCCGCTGCTTCATGCCTGCGATACAACACTGGACTCTATTTGTGCGTGCGAGAAACATGCTGTCCAGATGCACATTTGGGGTGAAACAATGCCGAATTCCCCCTTTGCCAGCTGCTCACCTGCAAAGCCTGACGGCGCCTTGGTGGCGCCGCCGCGGCGCCACCACTGCGGCCTGCAAAGCGGTCGGCGACAGCGATGCGCTGATATGGGATGCGCCGTGATGTGTACGGAGGTCGCAACCGATGCATTTAATTAAGGTGTTGCGGTGGACGGCACCAGGAAGTTGGAGGGCTGTCACGAACAGGAGCTTGGAAAGTCTTCCGTCGGACTGGACTTGGCATTTGAGCCCGGGATAGTAGTCTGACATGTCCCAGATCACTTGCGCCTCGCCCCGCCGGCCGCCGCCGGCTCTCCCTGCAACTTGAACTTCTTGCACTGCCGCCGCTGCCGCCGTCCGCCGCCACCTCTGGCTCTTGCCGCACCATGGCCGGCCAACTGACCGTCAGCAGCCTGTGGGCTCACGATGCTGACCTGCAGAAGCAGGTGGAGGAGGCGCACCGCAAGGTAGGGGCTTGCTGCTGGGTGCATGACGCAGCGGCGGCCGCGCCATGATGCCAGCGGCCGGCCACGCGCAGGCCTGATTGCGCCCTCCCCGCGGCCGCTGCGGCCGCTGAAGTGGTGGCAGGTGTCCCAGGCACCATTTTCGGGTGCAAACGGAGGCGGAGAGCGGCCGGTGGCGGAGAAACGGCTCGTCGCCGAAATGGGGCCGCGGCGGGTGGGGCCACCTTCATGAAATCTCCATTCGAATCTTCAGTCACGTGCCGCCCTCTGCCCCCGCAGCGCATGGGCGTCGGCACCTGGAGCCTCCTCGCCATGGCTTTCTCAACGCTGGGCATCGTGTATGGCGACATTGGTGGGAGCCGCTGCCGCCATTGCAACTGCTGCAAGCATGCCTCTGTCCGCCGGCGGACTTGGCTCACGCGTGCCGCTGCCTCCCCCGCCCGCCCAGGGGGCACGCCACCCCCTCACCCGGTCGCCGCGGTCGCAGCCATGGCCTCCAGACTGGGGTGTCGGCCGCCTGAACCCCGCACAAGCTCATCCCCTGCCTCTCCTGCCACTCCTGCCCAACTCTCCTCCACCCAGCCGGGCACACCCTTGCACCGCTCGTCCACCGTACTGCTCTCCACTCCTCGACTGTGCTGCAGGCACGTCCCCCCTCTACGTATTTGCCTCCATCTTCCCCGACGGACCCCCCAGCGCTGAGGTTACCCTGGGGGCAGCCTCCACCATTTTCTGGTCCATCACCGGCATTGGTGGGTGCTGGGGTGGGAGGAGCACGGAGGCAGGGGGAAGGGATGGGTTGTGTGTGGATGGGTATGGATGGCAGCGGTGGGGCAGGGATCGGGGTGCATTCGTGGCAGGCGGCTGCTTCGGGGTGGGGTGCGGGGTGGCTGCACCACGCGCCCCCACCCGCCACCCGCCCATGCCTCTGAAATTGGCGTACCGCTGTACTGCTTCCGTGCAGTGGTGGTCAAGTACATCGTCTTCACGCTGCAAGCCGACGACAACGGCGAGGGTGCGCCGCATGTGCATGCGGCCTGCCGCCTGGATGTGCCGCGCCTGCGTTTGGTGATGCGCAGCAGCCTACTGCGCACTTCGCGCTGCGTGCCATGAGCTGATCTGTGTGCTTGCCCTGTCACACCCTGCCCTGCCTCTATCCCTCCCCCCTGATGCCCCCACCCCCGACGGTCCACCCGCCTATGCCTCTCCAACCCCCGCCCCGCCTCCTTCCCGGCCCCCCGCAGGAGGCATCTTTGCGCTGTACGCCCTGCTGTGCCGCGCCGTGAGCATCCGCTCCGGCAGCCTGCTGCACGAGGCGGACCTGAGCCTGAGCCAGTACCAGGCCCCCGACCCGCCGGCACAGGCCCGCGCCTCTCCTTCGCCCCCGCACACAGTGAGCCGGCTGCCGGGGCGCGTACCCGCCCGCTGGTCTACCTGCCTGCCTGCCATACCTAACACAGGCTGCCTGCCCCGCCTGCCATGCCTGAATGGGGTCCTCTCTGCCCACAAGCACCGCAGGGGCTCCCGTTGCCCCTCCGCTGATCATCCCTCCCCCGCCTCCGCTGCCACGCGCGCAGTCCGGTGCCGGCACGTGCGGCGGCCCGGGCGCCGCGTACACCCGCTGGCGCCAGTCCGTGGTGGCGCGGGCCAGAGGTGAGCTGCCAGCAGTGGCAGTGCCTGGCTTCGCTGCGCCGCACTGTGCTGCACTGTGATGTGATGTTATGCGCTGCCACTGGTACGCGCGGCGAAGCCGGCACCGCTGCCACTGAAAACAGGCGTAATGCCCCGCCATAAGCCCGGCACCCCTGTGTGCTGCATGCGCGCTCCCTCTTGCCCGCTGCCGCTGCGGCCGGCAGCGCTGCGGCTAGCCCAAACCCACCACCCACCAGCGATCCCACGCACACGCCACCCCACTGGCGCTGCACCCCCCTGCCGCAGCCTCGCTGGAGGGGAGCCGGGCCGCCCAGGGTATACTGCTGGCGGTGGTGCTGCTGGCAGCCAACATGATTCTCTCTGATGGAGTGCTGACTCCTGCCATCTCTGTGGTGCGGCCAGCCCCCCTGTGCCCCTCCCTACCTCTCTGCATGCCTGGGTGCCCTGGTCTCGTCCTCTCGATCTTGCTCTTGCGCTCGCTCCCTCCTTTCCCCCAGCCGCCCAGCCCCCTGCTGGCATCCTCTCGCGCCCGTGCTTCCCTGCTGAATCCATTGTGTATACACTCTGGCCGCCACCACCACAGAGCACACTCACCCAGCCGTGCCTGCCCCTTGCCCCTGTGCCCACAGGTGTCAGCCGTGGAAGGCATCGAGTACCAGACAGGTATCTCCCGTGGTACCGTTGTGGGCATCGCCGTCGGCATCCTGGTTTGCCTGTTTGCGGTGCAGCCCTGGGGCACCCAGCGCGTCGCGGTGATGTTCAGGTGTGTGTGAGAGTGGACTGTTGGGTGTGCCCGGCTTCGAGCTGTAGGCGGGGAATGCCATGCTCTGTCTGTGTTGTGGTGTGCGTGTGGCACTTGCGTGGTTGCAGCTGAGGTGGTTGGGCTGGTGTGTAGCTGAGCTCAGCCACTAGAGCAAGGGTAGGCATGACAGTGCGGTGCAGACCTGTGTGTCTCAGGGGTGTGGGCGGTGGCGGGCCCAGCCACTTTCTGCCCACAACCCCTCCCTACCCGACCGCCACTGCAGCCCGCTGGTCTTCTTGTGGTTTGCCTCACTGTCTGGCATCGGTGAGGCCCTGGGGCTTGCTGCCTGACCGGGTTCCTGCTTGCATCTCTGCCCGTGTGGGGCAAGCTGGCAGCAGGGGAGGGGCGGGGGTTTGCTACGCTGCGTGCCTCCCGCCCGGCAGGCGCACTGCCTGCCGGCCTGCCAGCGGCTGGCTGACTGGCATCGCCGCACCTGTTCTAGCGCCATGCCCTTCACCCCATCGCCTCGCTGACAGAAGACCTAGAGGCACCCATCGGCACCACCGCCGGCACTGTCACCTCCCTCCCAACGGCCGGCGGCGGCGGCGGTGACGTGGAGATGGGCCTGCCGGCTGGCGGCGCCGTGCCCGCCCAGGGCCTACGCCGCACGTCTGGTACCGCTGCGGTCCTGCCGGGACCAGCCCTGGTCCGGGTGGACCCCTCTGAAAGCCTCACGGCCTCCGTAGGTGAGCAGGCGGGCGGCGCCTGGCTGTGCAGACCCAGCCCCCAGCCTGCCAGCTGCCTGTCTGTTACACCCGGCATCAGCAGCAAACGAGTGCGGCTGGCTGTCCTCCCCAGTTTCCGTGCGCCTCGCGGTTGCGCCTACACACATGTCTGTGCGAGCCTGCCCCTCGCAGGCCGCCGCATGGGCCGCCAGCTGTCGCTGCAGCTCGTCCAGCTCACCGGCGGCGCCGCCTCCGCCAGCCCCGATGCCACCGTGCACAGCCGCAGCTCGGCCGGACGCACCGCCCTGTCTGCTATCACCGCGGCCGTGGCGCTGCATGCCCCCGAGGAGGGGGGCTGGGAGCAGGGTGCTGAGGAGGAGGTGCCAGGTGAGGCGGCACCCAGCAATACACCGGTGTGGTGGGTTGGGAGATGGGGAGGCACCTGAGGCGCACCAGGAGCCGCCTGCTGCGGAGCAGCCGATCCCGCGCGCACACATGCATGGCGGCGCCGACGGCACGTGTGTGGGGGTCGACCTCCCACCCATACCCCCTGCTGCCCCCTCCCACCGCCGCCATCCGGACCGCTCTCCTC